CACTCGCTTTATTAAAGGGCACAATGGAGATTGACAGCGTCGCCCCGAGTCCTCGGGTGATATTCATGTCACTGCAAAAATAATGTACTTTTCCAAGGGGAAAAATGATTGACATTAATGCACAAAATGATTGACATTAATGCACAAAATGATTAATAATGCAGAATTAATGCAGAAAAATGCAGAATTAATGCAGAATTAATGCATTTGTAATCATTTTGTGAAATAAATGTAATCATTTTTCACCTCGGAAGAATACATTATGTTCGCAGTGTGTGTTGTGTGATGCCTCATTTTGGATGATGCTCTCATCAAAGATGAACAAAGATCATATTGACACATTCATCTACACTGCCACCTTGAAAACCCCCCTTCAGCCTTAGCCTATATAGAACAATATATGTAAGAATATCAGAAAAATAAAGAAACTGCAGAATGAATCAAGTTTTTAAGAATACAAATATGTGATGTGGTCTATGATGATATGAAAATCAAGATATAGATTGTAAATTGATCTGAAAGTGATTTTTGAAGCAATCGAATTTTGTTTTTTTACAACAAGGATGATGATGGTTTGATGTTGATAAAATGTTTAATTGAGTTCTAGATCTCTTTTAGTTTGGTTTCGATAAATCAAAGCTTGAAAAAGGATTAAGAAATCAATCGAAAGTTGAAAGACTGCACTACAGAACATAAGTAAAAAGAAAGAATCAAGTTTCAGATTTCTTGAGATCTGAAATGGAAAGTCATCAAAGCTAAAGAAAAGGATAAGTGACTTACCATACTTTGAATTGAAGACTATTGTTGGGTTGAAGAAAAAAGTATATGGTTTTGAAGCCGTCTCCTACTAACCAACCTAATAAGACAGATGTTCGAAATCCTACGAGTGATTTACGTTGATAATTGGTGATGAGTTGTGGGATAGGTAACTATGTGAAAGAGGTTATGGATCATGTTAGTAGTAAACTTATGAAAGAATCAAGCGAACCGAAATGGAGTGATGAAAGCTTTAACTCACCGTACTTTCCAAACCTAAGGCAATATAACCAGTAGTCTCAACATACCAACGATAGTTGTGTAAAATCAAAAAGAAGATCACGTGGACGAGGACCAAGACTGCAAGGAATTCACAGTGTAATCCAAACGAACTCCAATTCCAAAGATTACAACAATACTTGGTTCGAATCGATTCTTGGGATGATGAACTTGAGATAGGTTCTGGCATCTCTTCTGCGGTTGAGGCTAGATTACTGATGCCAATCGGACTTGGAAGGTCTTCTGGTATCGATTCATTTCGTATAAGTGATTGTTGTTCTAATGATGGAGATCCTAAATTGTTTTCTCTAGATCTTGATCTCGATGTTGTTGTTGTTGGAGATGGATTAGTTGCATATCTTAGACAAATTTGAAGTAATCCAAGTTGTGCTAAAATCATTAAGATTGATTGAATTAATAATCCAATTTCAAATCTTTCTCCTAACCAATAAAAGATTCTTGTAATATTAGAGATTCTATAAACTTGTAAAATTTTGATGTTTTCAAAAAAGAAATTTTCATTAGTTTCAAATCAAACCAAAAAAACAACTTTTTAAAGTTTTTGAACGGAATAAAGTAAAAAAAATTACACGCACAAAAGTACACCACAGATTTCTCTGGAGAATCCATCTGAATTACGTTTTTTGAGTATAGAAACTACATAATGATTCAAACCAAAACTTTTAGTTTTTCTTATATAGGTTTGTTTTTCAGATTAAAGAAAAGTAAAAAGTTTAACAAACCGTATTGATCTAAATAAACCAGAGGTGGACCTATGGCTGATGGACCAACGCGACAGATATTTATAAGCTTGGGCAGAGAATAATTAAGTAGAAGAGTAAAACGACTCACCCATCCCACAGCTTGCTAGGGTATTGAGCCAAGTCATTTTTTTGGTTTAGTTCTTGTGAAGTTTGATAAATTGATGAGTGAGCTGAATGAGCTGAATGCGTGGTTAAGATTCAGAGGTGGTAATAGATGACGTTATGGATGCTTCAGCAGTTTCCCTAAAATGTTAAGTCGTTCTTAATCTTGACACCGAAGGTCGGGATCCGAGAATCCTTCGGATAATGGCCCTTTGCTTTGGAGGCTGTGTTGCTGTTGCCAAGCTTTATTAGCTTAAAACTTGATTGGCAAAATGTTATGTTGGGAATGTCTGATAGTACATCATGATTGATCAAGCTTTAAAACAATATCACCATCACCAATTTTTTAAGTATTTCCAGATAAGATTAGTGAAGAATTGAAAGACTTGCAGTGAATTGTCCATCTCACCCTTTGAAATTTTTTCATTATATTCTTGTACCATTCTACATATATATTTGAACCCTCTCATTGATAATGATCATTTCAAGTTCACTGGAATTCAGAGGTATTGATAAATTGTTGTTTGGATTTGAAATCTTATCAGATGAAAGTTTTTTTGGCAATGACAATGGCAATGGAATGTATGAAGAGCCATGATTTGGATACATTTCTCAACATTTTATTTTTGCAAATATAAAAGGAGTGTCATTGATGTGGCATGAGGATCTTAATGAGTAATTCTCTGTGTGAACTCTGGGCCTTCCAACTGTGAATGAGTTTGGTAAACTCCAGAATGGTAAAGAAACAAACTCTTGGTTTGCTGCACCACAATGAGATTTCAGGGAAAAAACCCCTTCTTTGTTGAAATAGGAAGTGATGAACTGATTGGATTGATTATGAGTTAAACTGTTGGATTTAGAAGTTTAGGAATCTCACCATGATTGGATTGAGAATAGAGGTCAAGAGGAGAGCTTTAGATCCAAAGATTCAACTCTATGGTCATTCCTTTAAAATCAGGTGAGGTCAAGTTTAGATACCTCATGCATACTTATCATCGAAGTTGTTCTACTTGGAATGCAACACTTGGAATGTATTTTTTCTATCAGGGATTGCTCAAGTTGGTAGGGTTTGGAATTTCTCAAGGGTTTATAAGGGTCACTACATCAGAAGGTTCATTGTGATAGATATTTATTTACATATAGAGATCAGTTTAGATTGATTTGATGAATAGCTTGGATTATCACCATTTTAGCATTCATTGAAAGGAGAATAGAATGAGAATTGAGAAGTTGATTGGATGGCATTGGTAGTGGTAGAATGAAATGAAATTGAATGATATTTTAGACTATTTTAGACTAATTAGCAAGCTGAATATGTATGAGTAGTGAAAATTAACTGTTTTTTTCTTTCATGAACCTTTTGATTTTCCCATTGAGAAATGATAGTCTTGACTCGTCTGAAGTGAAGTTTCAAGTGAATTATCAACGACTTCAGTCTTACACTCTTTCTTAATCTCATAATCAAACAAACTTCAACTTCAACTGAAGATCTTCAATCAATCAATCATGACACCTTCCTCCATATCTGCTGCTGCTACTACTGCTACGGCTACTGCTACGGCTACTTCAACTCCATCTTCACCATATGAAAGAAGAAATTCAAATCAACTCATTGAAAATCTAACACCTAAATCTAGACCGATCTCTCAACATAATACTCGAATCCCATTTCCTGCACCTCGTCCTTCACCTGTTTCATCAAATCGTCATAACACTTCAAATTCAATCTCAACTTCTACTGCTTCTTTATCTCAACCTATCTCAGATCTCACTCTCACCTCAGATTCAACAAACTCTCAAGAAGGTATTCATGATCTCTTTCAAATCAATTCATTCACTTTCTCTTGTTGACTAACTTTTCTCACTTTCTTTTTTTATCTTTCAAAGTCAATATGCTTAAAGAACAACTTGCAAAACTTCAAGCTGAATTACGTTTAGCCAAAGGAAAATCTTCAAATCAAGATTCAAATCATTCTTCAAGTAGGACTCATACACCTTCTACTTTAAAACGTACTCATCATTCTCAATCATCTCATATGTCAACTTCTAATTCATCTCAAACTCTTACACCTTCACCTCGTCATAAACTATCTTCTCGTTCTCAAAGTCCTCGAAAACGTGCTAGTAGTCATACTATCGACCAAACCGAAGAAGGACTTTCCATTCGACTTGTAACGGCTCCTGGTCTGGTTCAACCTTCTGGAGCGTTCTTGAATCCTGATTCTGGCTTTCCTACTTCTGATAGTGGTTATATTAAAGATGAAAGAGGGAATTGGGTACCACTTCAACCCAATCATTCAACTCAAGATGATCTGAAAACTAGTCAAAACTCTAGTACTTCTTCATCTACCAATCCTAATCATCAAACACTTGAAGATGTTCGAGGGCTTAGTAGGATACCTATCAGTGCTGTTTCGATGGGTAGGGTCTTAGCGGGTGATACAGCAGGTCGGATCACGACTGAAGATGATGAAAACACATCAGAATATACGTCAGAAGGACCACATGAAAAACCTGAAACGGATCTCGAATCATCTCATGTCACTTCACCATCTAATCCTGTACCTAGAAGACGAGTGAACCGTAGGATTCCTTCTTTACAAACATTAGATGAATCAGGAGGAGGTCCGGTATGTCTTTCACCTGGACGTGAATCACGTTCGTCTGTTGGATCTACGACAGATCATAGACCTACAAACCAAACCTCAAGTTCAAGTCGACAATCACGAGGCAACCCGTTTTTCGGATCAGGAGGAGGTCGAGATCGAGGAGCGATGATTCATCATTCTTCACATGGCACTGATAAGAATGGAGGTAATACAGGAAGGGTGATTACGAATTTACAATCTGATTTACTTTATGCTAGAACAGCTTTAGATCAATCTAAATCACAACTTAGATTATCACAAAGAACGGTAGAAAGTTTAACGAGACAAACAGAAGATTTAAAAGAATCGATGTCAAGGTTAAGATTAGAGAATGAAGGCTTGAGTAAGATGTTAGCTAGAAAGGAAAGAACGGTATCTGAACTCATGGAACGAATTAAGAAATCGGAATCTGAATTGAGTACTTTGAAAGTAGAAAAAAAAGAAATTGATTCGAGTATGAAGAAAATGACGAAAGAGACTGAAGAGGTTTTGAAAGAATCTATTAGAAGAAGAGATCGTGCTGAGGTTCAATATGAAGCAGTTAAATCCGGTGTTAAATCTCTTTCGGATGGTTGGAAAAGAGATGTGATTGGATTGAAATCAGATATGAACAAATTAGAAGAAAAACATAGAAAAGAATTAGAAGAATCTAGATTGAAGTATAATACATGTTTGTGTTTCTTTTTTGAAGTTCACTTTGATCATGAAAAAAGAGTTCTCGTTCCAAAGCTAATGATTGTTTTTTCTTGGAAATAGTGGCTAAATTACATGCATCACGTTCAGGTGCATTATCATCATTAGAATCTACATTGAATTCATTACAATCTACGAAAGAAACGATTTTGAATACATATTCGATTGAACTTAAAAGCTTACAAACCAATTTAGAAACCGATCAACAAGAGAATCAAAAATCGTTAATGATGACCCAAGAAGTCATAGATGAATGTGCTAGGTTTAAAAGAATGTTGAGAGATTATCATGGTTGAAAAGATAACCTTGACCCCCCTCCCCCTCACTCGAAGAAAAGAAATGGTGGATGAAATAATGGAAAAAAAGATATGAAAAATGATGAACTTTTTTTTTTGGTTTTTTTGGGTGTTTTGTAATAAACAATCTTTTTTTGTTGTATAAAAAAACAATTAAAAATATGTTTTTTCTGTTTTTTTTTGGGGGGGGGGGAGGGGCTTGATACAATTCAATTTAATCTTTTTTTTTTGCTTTTCATTTTGATTGCATTATAGTTTTTTTTTTTTACTTTTTTTTTTTTTTGAAAAGTTTTATCTTTAAAATTTAATTAATCAATCAAAAGAAACAAAAAATTAATAAATAAAAGTATAGATTTTTTCTTTCATTCCTTGACTTTTTTTGTTTGTTTGTTTCAAAACGGGGTTTTTTCTTTTTCTTTTATTGATTGATTTGATGATGATGATGATGAAAGATTATAATGTTTTTAATTTTGATTAGATATGTCCTATCATATGTTTTGGATTACATAGAGAAACAAAGATTGAATGATGATGATGAAATAAGCTTAGGGCGCGTTCACTTAAGGAATTTCGGACCAGAAATCACATTCTGTAAATTTTTTAATGCAAAAATGTAACATGCCCCACCAAATAGACATTTTAAATTTTGCAGAATGTGATTTCTCACCAGAATTTGCTTAAGTGAACGCGCCCTTAGAGTTACTAGCAAGATTTTAATAGATCATAGTTTTAGATTTGTTCTTCTTTTGGGGTTTTTACTTTGGTTTGAATTATTCTTGAATTTTATGTGATGATATAGAAGGTTAAAGGAAATGAAAAATTAATATATATATATGGGTTGATGATTGTTACTTAGTTTGAAACTTTATAATTTGATTTGGTTGTGACCACTTTCATCTTTGGAATTGATGAAGTTGATGAGAGAAAGCAAACAAGATGTATGTATCAAAGTAGGTCAAAGTAATTTGGTGGTAATTGACAAGTTCAAAGTGAATCCAAATACATGATCAACTGAAGTTTATCTTGATCATATATTGTATCTTGTAAAGACTTTTGGAAGCATGAAATCTATATTTTATGTGTATACCAACTGTTACTAAATGACTTTGTGTGGTAAACAGATTACAAGAAGACAATCATTGACATTTCTGATTTCCTCAAGTTGAGTCACACAAGTTGTAAAAGATTGTCTTTTGAAATGGACGCAGGCTGAGAAGTTTCAAACAGAAAATTCTCAGGTTGCATAGGTTTTGTGGCTTTAAACAACAAGAATTGATCAACTGAGGACAGAGAGATTAGAGGATGACAAAATGTCACTCAAAGGTCTGGTATGTCAATTCCCAGCTCATAGAAAAGACTTTAAAGATGAATCATTTTTTTCTCAAGTCAAATTCCTTGTGTTCAGAGTCTTATTGATGCCATGGAATAAATACATAAGTAGACGAGGAAAAGAGATGACATGTTTTTGAAGTAGCACAGCAAAGTAGATACATAGAGGAACAAGTTTGGCTTCAAGTCATCATCAGACAAGTATTGTTGGGTTGATGATCTCTTTGAAGTCTTTTGTTGCACATGTGGAGATTTCAAACAAGAAAACTTTAGACAGAATTCGTAGTTAGTTCAACATTCACACCTTAACGTGATGACTTGAATGTGACTTGGTAAGAATCATTCACCCAATGTGTTGCACAACCTATGGGTTGCAAATCCCACATTCTGCAAGAGCACCAAAATTCTCTCGTTAATGCTAATGACGTAAAAATCTTATAGTGTTTTGGATTGGACTTACTGATGTATGCGATTTTCTCTGGTGTCGAGCTGCAGTGAAAGGTTTGATCTTTGAGGTTAGTACAACCTGAAAAAATCGAACCACATGCCAAGGTCAATAAAAGGCTGAAGTGTGCTATCTATGACGGCTACGCACTAAACGTTCGAGTATCATCCTCCCACATGTAATCTTTACACGATTGTTGGCTGGAATTCTGATTGCTTGAGTCCTCCAACACACATTTGTCAATATTGACCCATTGGTTTTCTAGATTTACCGAATGTTCAATCATAAGTTTTCAGTTTTCTTATGAGGACTAATAAGTTATACTCTTCTTGAAGATACTTACTGCCACTGTAACAACTGTTCACCTGACAAGCGTGTTGGGTGTCTGCAGAATCACCAGACTGGCAAGCTTTGAAAGTCAGAAGAGACAGAATCAGTTAACACTGTTTGATGAAATATCGTTCAAAAATGGAAAAGGAACAAAATCCAAGTGCCAATTACAGGTGAAACCACCATCATTGCCTCCATATGCGTAACGACAATCGACCGAGATCGAGTTTGCAAATGTGCACAGAAAAAATGTAGAGAGTAACACAAGAACCTTGAGAACCGAATGGTGAAACATGTTGGTAAAAAAAAGTGAGAAAGAAGAACGATGGCGGAGTTGATGTAAAGATCAAGAGGTGTACGATAATTTATGAGGGTGGAAATCAGAGACAAATGAGGTTCGCGTTTTATTCTCGTGAATGAGGACGTCTTTCGTCCATCAACCGGAAAAACGAAGTGGAGCGCTTGTTTAGCCTCCTGATTTCATGATCAATTATGAAGCCGTTGACAAAAGAAATTCAAAGAATATTTCTGGCTTTGTGCGAGGTCAAGTGGACAAGTGACTGTGCAAGTGTGGACTGGTCATCAAATGGCTGAACGATTTTTCCTTCAAGCATGTTATCTAAGGAGATGAAGGGTTAAACTTCTACCCAATGCGGAGAACAGGAAACGAAATCTTTCAATTCTCCGGACCATCCGCAAGAAATAAATCAAAATCTGGATATGGAAGAAGGTGAAACTGGTCAGCTGCTTCTTTAACTCAACAAAGCCCTCTCCGCGCGAGCTTGTCCGGAAAAGCCAAATTTCCTTCCTGAATCACAGTGTCCGGCAAAAGTGTGCCAGATGTACGGCGAGCTCTAAACTTAACCGTCAATGTGATTTTTTTAAGTGGATTGGGATTTATTGCATAGAACAAGTTAAAACAGTATGAACTAGTTCACCTTGGAGAAAACAGCCATCTAGTTGGAGCAAAGGATGTTGTTGTCACTTGATGTTGAGATTTGTTCATTTTTTCAAAAAATCATCCAGTGTGCATAGGGTATCTATTTGTCATTCACACCAATGTGCAAGCACACCCCAATTTGGGAATTTGGTGGATATGTTTGTTGAGAAGAACAACAACAATAGTTGAGTTTTCATTAAAACTGTCTTGACGGTAGTATCCGCCAAACTCTGCAACAAGCTTTAACAGTACACTGTTTCTGATGTTTTTCAATCGAGCCGAGTTACGTGAGCATTTATCAGCTGGTGTTTTTGAATTTATCTTTTTCATCTCGTGACAACTCGCCCTTTGCTCTGCGGCCAATCCCCTTGGTCCCGGTCCTGTAGATATGAATGGAAATGTACAAAGTGTTTAGTTTTGAAGATGAATTTTGCAAGAGGTGGAAAAGCCTTGGGAATGCCAAGTAAACTGATTGAGTTGTTCCATTTCAGTTTGATGTTTTCTTCTTTTAGACTATTTCTCATAGCTTTGCAAGCCTTTGAGAATTTCCTGCAATATAGTAAAAAATGGTGAGTATTTTCCTTTATCCCACATGTATCACATAAAGGAGAAGGAGTTGGATTTTGTTTAAACAAGTGTTTATTAAGTGGGCTATGTGCCGTCCTTGATTGGAAAATGGCTGCGGTGGAACCTCTTTTGAGTTCTTCTAAAACTTTCATTATTAGTGTTTGGTTAGCTCTGTATGGTTTGTTACCTGGTTTAAAAGGGAAAAGTTTAACATTGATGTATCCCAGACGCATGGCGAGAGCAATTCAGCTCTACAGAAATTTTGAGAGCATTTGAAGGGTTGCGTGTTATGATCCCACTTCACGGATCATGGGATGTCACAACACGTGACAGGCACAGACCAGATCTCACTATACTAGAGTCCCTGTTGTACATTGCTTTGATCCTCACGCTACAATACTCATACCAAGCTAGAAAGTCCTTCTCCTCTGTCCCACGTCCCCAGACCCCGTAGCCAGTCATAACATTGCGGAGGCAGAGAGCCGGCTAAGACCTTGCCCCTTCCCCAAAGTTTTGGGACTCCCAAAGTCAAACCCCCCTGGGACGGGGAACGGGGAAACCCAGGGATTCCCCAAATCAATCTTGAACAATCAAAGTCCAATGGGTCTTTGAACGACTCCTTTGTCATCCATCTGTGGAGAACTGCCAATCTGATAACTAAAAGAAAAAAGTGCAATAGGGGGTTTCAAGTTAAAGATTTTTACGTATTTTTACGCTACAACAACTTACCCGTTGTTGTAAACTATGCGTAAATTTTTGAAGCGGGACACCTTTTTAGGTGTCCCGAATTAAAAATACCTTGGTTTTATGCATAATTTTTTTACGAAGAACTTGTCTGAATTCGTAAATTTTGTGCAAAAAATAAACAAACTTGAAACCTCCTAATATCCTTTTGATATCATTCCCAAAGACTTTATAATTCACAAACACTACAACACTGAAGTAAATTTCTCTTTGTAGCTATAATAAAGGGTGCATTTAAGTGACCAGGTACTATTAAAATAAGTTCATGATAATAAACAAAATGGTAATGTTGTAAATGATAAAGAAAAAATTGGGGACAACAACACCCCAAATCCTCCATTTGATAATACATAACACCAATACAATGATTAACAACTTCAAAAACCAACAACATCCCTCAAAATCTAACAAAATCCCTCTGATGTAACCTTATGATGTCATTATTATTGATGTGTGACGTGATTCTGTGAAATTGATGAATTTATATTCAAAAATGATGAATAGATCTTCTTATGATGAATACAGGTGATTTTTTCCTAAGATCCATAGCTGAAAACCATTTTTAGAATTACAATCTTTTTGTAAAGTTGTCCATTTTTGGATTACTATAACTCATTTTATAGCTCTTTTGATACTGATAATTTATTGCGCCATTATAAACAACCTCTGATGTGTGATGAATAAGTTATTGAGTTGTAGAGACTGAGAAAATAAGCTTTTTGTCATGTAAATGTTGGTACATGTGTGTATGTTGTACACCCACTTCAGCAAAAAAAGTCGCATTAATAATTTAATGCGACTTTTGCATCACAATGAGAAATTTTCTCATTGTGTGTGTATGTATAAAAACACACAACACTCCACTTCTTGGAAACGTTTGGTAAACAGATACAATGTGATATGTGATCAGAATTCAGCATTATTGAGATCAATAACGCCTTTCACTGACTGGTAAACGAGGTCATCAACTTTGATGATGGCCAAAGCAGTCGAATGGTCTTAACATCACCCTATTGATTGCCCTTCAACGCCACAACATCATTGCTTTTTGACTTGAATCATTCAAACCCAAGAGACTCATGCCATTTTTCCATTTGATTAATTTTCCAGGAACTTTAAAGCTTTTTTGTATCATTTATCATCTATTGCATCAGAAGCAAAACATCTTTAAAATTGACCATTTCAAATCAGATTGATAATATGTAATAAGCGAGAGACAAATTTATACAATCCAACACTCAAATGATTGGATACCACTCGAGGAGTTGAGATAAAAGAAATGATTTGTGATTTGAAGGAAAACAAGGAACTTGGGATCAATAAAAGAAGGTTGATAGTAAGTTTGAATGAGAATATTGATTGTTCCAATAGACAAAATAATGGCCATATCAAGATTGAAAAGGTGATGTCAAGATTGAGGTTGTTTAGAGGATCCATTATTTGAAGTGAATGGAGTTCAGGGATTGAGAAATTGATTTTTTTGGTGGTAATGAAGGATGAAATTTGGTGAAGTAAGACAAAGAGGGAGAGTGATGGGTTGAAAGAGAGAGCGATGGAAAGTTGCAGTTGCATTAATGTGAAAATATACAGCTTTGAGTCGTTTTCAAGAATGCGCACAATTTTTGCACATATGTGCAAAGATGTGTGTGCGTCTTCCGTCGCATTTTGGTTTACCAAATTGGTTTTTTTGGTCACATATGCCACCAAAAATCAGTGCAACTTTTTGGTGGTGCGCAGTTGGTCGCACACGTCACACAACGGTTACCAAAGTGGGTGGTAAGTGCAAAAGTCAAAATTGACACCATTTTCTTTGTTTCCTTATAAATTTTTCACTAAATCTCTGCTACAATTGAGTTAAAGGCTGTGATTTATGAAATAAGGTATTCTGCTTCAAATGAACTATCACTCATCCTGATCTGACAAGTTTTGACATATGTAATCAGCTGAAAACCTTCAATTTCAACAGATTGTAACCATTTTCACCTCTTGTCTCTTCTAATATTGATTTCTCTTCTATCATGAGATAGTCCTTGATCATTTCATTTGTAAGAATAAATCTAAAAACACTTTCAAAGTTTTTTGGCACCATAAATCCCTCAATGACATCACTACACATGAATTAATCCTGTAGTATCCTTGTTTATTGAATAACTTGACTCCTCCCTTATCAATATCCATGATTGAAGTTGTTGCTGACTAGTGTGGCCATCCACTTTCATAATAAAACCTTTCTGAAACTTTAACTCTCATATTGATAACCTAAAAACCATTTTTCAACCTTTATACACTGCAAACATTATTCAACTTCCCCAAGTGGGCAGGAAAAAGTGACTGGGAGTATGATTTGTCATAAAATGATCTATCACTCCACACCTGAGCCATAACACCCACACTACATATGTGTAGCAGGCTCAGTGAATATGTGGTTACCATGTACATACAGTTCTGCTCAGCTTTCTGCTCATCAGGATAAGTTATTCATATGTAATACATGCTGTAACTTTTTTGAGATCAAAAAAAGCATTCCAAAGATTGACTACATACACTGACTCAATGTTTTGGTGTAATCTCATCAACTCAACTGCATGTAACACCCTTTCTGTTACTAAGAAATAGCTTCAACAATATTGCCTGAGCACCTACAGAATTATATGTAGTAAATTTTGGGCACAATTTTTTCAAAGTCAAAAAAGTTACATGTGGTATAACATGTGATTTATTTCTGCTGGAGGGCAAAAAACTGAGCAGACCTGTATGTACATGATAGCCAACTATTGACTTAGCTTGCTGCACATATGTAGTGTGGGTGAAATGGCCCAGGTGTGCAGTATTAGATTCTTTTATGACAAACTGTACTATTAATCATTTTCCTCTTACAATTTGGGGAAGTTGAATGATGTTTACAGTGATACCTACATTTTTTGACTTTTTTATGATTTTCTTTTTCTTTCTTCTTTTTAATAATGATTCAATAATAGGGGGTGTCAAGTTCAATTTTTTTACGGTAAAAACCATAAAAACCTTTCCCGTCGTAGCATAAATTT